GGCAATCCACTCGCCTCAGCCTCCCAAAGGTGCGGGATTACAGGCTGAGCCACCGAGCCCTGCTATTCTCCTTTATTTCAATAGCTTTAGGGGTTAAAAGTAATTTTTGGTCTGGGCGTTAAGTACAGCCAAAACCCCCACCTGTGTACATTGCTCCCCAGTCGGTGATTTTTGCTCCCTCCACCCCCTCGCCCCTCCCCCTTTTGAGTCCCCAGGGTCCACTGTGCCGTTCTCTGTGTCTTGGCAGATCCTTAGTTTAGCTCCCAGGACTGTGTTAACTAATGAGTTAATGCAATGAACATTTCCCTGGGAATACAATGCAAATAAGACAATGGAAAAGCATGTCAGAGCCTCACCCTCAGGAGAGCTAGGATATGTTTCTGCTGCCCTCTGCTGCTGTTCACCCCCCAGATGCAGGGCTCGTGCTGGTGCCTCAACAGAGTTTACTGTTTTCCAGTCTACCAGTCTTATCTCACTGATTCTACCCGTACCTGAGGAAACTTCTCAGCTATGGAAAGATCACCTGAAGGTTTTTTAGAAAGTTGATGAAAGGGTAGAGGATTTGGGGCCTTGTTATAACACTATGGATGAAACTTTACTTTTGCTTTATGTGTGGAATATTTTTAAAATTTAAACTTAAAAATTTTTTTTTAATTTAAAATTTTATTTTGTTTGTCTGGAGACTGGGCCTCGCTGTGTTGCCCAGGCTGGCCTTGAACTCCTGGCCTCAAGCCATTCTCCATCCTCCTCCTCCCAAAGTGCTGTAATGACAGGCCTGAGCCAAGGCATCCTTAAAATTTAAATTTTTATGGTATCTTGGGAAAATTGGCCCTTGGTCCCATATAACGATAAGTGCTATTCTCCTTTTCTGAGAATAAAGAATTACTAAGCTTTGGAGAAAGTGAAGAAAGCATTCCTAAAACTACTCAACACAGATCTTTTTGATAATGGAGGAAGTTCTTCCATATTCCATCAACACACTGTTATTTGATGAAATCTAAGAGGCGTGGGAGTTGGTAAGGCAGGACATGCCATCTACTCAGTGCTGTGAAAGAAGGAATCAATAATGTTTCAGTGCAGATGAGAGACACCCTTCTGGAAAATTGCCTACTTAGGACTCTTGATTTGGATACTGATTTTGCAGAAAGCCCTCCTTGTGACACTGTCACACCCTTGATTAACCTTATTTAATATTTATTTGCCTGATATGCAGCTAAAATGACATCTTCAGGCCTGGACAGTGACTGAGGTTCACAAAATGACCATGAGTCATCAAGTAAAATTAAGTGAATGCTGCTTATTTAAGCACAAGAGTGTGTAAAATATTTCTTTAGCAATGACTTATTATAGATCCACAAATTACTTCATGTTAAATAAGAATGTGGTAAATACCTGGTATCTAAATTTTTACATTTCTTATCACAGATTTTTGTCAAACTTTGCCTTTTTATCTTATGCCTCTGTCACTACTTTTATTTATAGCTCTTGATACAGCTTTTGGTAAACATGATTCTACAGGCATAATTACTTTATATTCAGAGAATATTCTAGTAAATAAACATAAATTAATTTAAAATGAAGTTTCTTAAGGTTTCCAACAAAAGACTTGTTACAGTATTTCAAAAAATAACAACTACTTTGTATTGAACATTTATATTCCATAGCGATATTAGGAGCTTGACATGGATTGTTGAATTTAACTTTTACAGTAGCCCTATTAGGTCAGTATTATTACCACTGTTTTGTAGATGATGAGGCTGAAGCTCAAAGAAGTTCAGCAACAAAAGCTGTATCATTCTGAATCCACTGACTTTTTACTTAACTACTATGATGGCTTCTTTAACTGTTGGCAGTTAGAGTTTGATGTATCTGGAAATTTCAGTTTTTGTGTAAAATAGCTTCTGTCAGTTCCTGAAGAGCATTAGGTGAATGAGACAATTAATTTTACTCCGTAGCAAATAGAACTCAGGAGTAAATTTTGGAATTTTTCAGCTCATGCCCTATTTGGTCCTGGACATTCTGCAAGATTATCCAGGCCTTCCTGGACTTTTTGTGGCCTGTGCTTACAGTGGAACATTAAGGTATGAACTATGACTCTAATAACACATGGTTTACCTGTTGGGATGTTTCTTTTATTATTAGATTCCTTGGGAGAGAAAGCTGAATTCTGGGCATGGGTGCAGTGGCCCAAAGCAGGCAGTCTTCTGCATGTGGTCAGCATCTTCTCTGTGTTCTGCCCTTCTTGGTGGCTAGCATCATGTGGTCAGCAGGCATCACTTTTAACAAGGTCCTTGCCTGTGAAGGCACCCTCATATATATATCCCATTAGGTCACACAATGATGATCAGTTGATGGCAGCTTCCACCAGTTTTCAAAACTGGGTGCCCATGGTCCTGGTTCAAAACACACATGCGGTTAAACATGGTTAGCTGGAAAATGAGAATTTCGTCTTCCATCTACATGTTGATTAATGAACACCGCCCAGAGAACCTTGGGTTTGTAACTTCACATATTCATTGAGGCTGGGCTCGGTGGCTCAGCCTGTAATCCCAGCGCTTTGGGAGGCCAAGGTGAGTGGATTGCCTGAGCCCATGGGTTCAAGACCCACCTGGGCAACTTGGCGAGACCTCGTCTCTACAATAAATCAAAAAATCAGCCGGGCTTGGTAGCGCATGCCTGTAGTTCCAGCTACTCGGAAGGCTGAGGCGGAAGGATTGCCAGAGCCCAGCAGATTGAGACTGCGGTGGCCGGGAGCGTGCCACTGCACTCCAGTCTGGGCGACGGAGTATGACTCCAACTCAAACAAAAAAACAAAACAAATTCATTGCATTTGCTTCTTGTGTTCACTCAAGAGAATTATTATGGTCACATGTACGGTGTGTGCTGGCCAGGATCTGGAAATTAATATTGCTGATATTTATGGCATATATTAGTGAGGGTTTATGACAGTTCTTTCTGCCCAGAGAAAACTATGTATACAGTAATATTGAGTGACCTGAGTCTTCACTGCAAAATGGCAGCAACATTGACACATCCTTTCTCTTTTACTGTCAAGCCTATAGGTGTTGCCTGAGTCATTCTTGGATGATAACAGTTTCCAGGAAGGGGGTGCCATGATCATTAAAAATAACATAGTAGAAATCTGGTTATGTTTTAAAAGTGGCCGTTTTTTCTAATTCCAACTTAAAATATGACTCAAGGTGACATGTGACAGATCAAAGCTCTGTTTTCCCCACAGCACAGTGTCCTCCAGTATTAACGCCTTGGCAGCCGTGACTGTGGAAGACCTCATCAAACCTCGCTTCAGGTCCCTCTCAGAACGGTCTCTGTCTTGGGTTTCCCAAGGAATGAGTAAGCATCGGTTTCCACAATTCCATTTTAGTGCAGAGAGATGATTTTTTTGAGACACCGGAGATTCTTTTCCACCAGAGACGTCAAGTGAGAATCTCTGAGTGTGAGTGTGCTTCTGTATGTGTGTGCCTGTGACTTGACGCGACATGATCATGTGTGCAATCCAGAGGTGGGAGACATCTAAATGATTGTCAGTGGACCACAAGGGATGATTTCCAGGGGTCCTATTTGGCTATCCTTCATTTCTACCTTCTTCCTATTCTAATTTGTGTTAAATTATTAGCCACACACTTGTAAAAATTCAACTCTTTTTCTTTTCAACTTCAGTGCACAGTTGTAAGAAATATCCTTAGTTTGGCACTAAGAGCCACACTTTTCTGGATTACCTGAAAGGACACTGTCAGTTTTAGGTACATGTTCTGTGTGTATGAATTAACAGTAACAAAGAGTAGTATGATTTCTGACTGATCTTGATTATTCTTTCTGCTCACGTACACTATCCTGGACAAGTTCTATAATATTGTGCAAGGAATTTCCAACTTCTGTTTTTAGATTATAAAAACTTAGCAGGGGTAAAATGCTAGCTTTAGTGGAAAGGTTTAAGGGTTCCCCCATTCCCAGATGTCCCCAGTGTAATACCTGACTCGAAATCTTGCTGGGTTACTTCATTCTTCATTCTACATCCGAGGCGTTTTGGAATGAATGACTAACACATTTGTTTTTTGAAAAGGATTCTTTAACCTCAATCCATAATACTGATAGACTGTCAAAGAATTAGTAAATGAGTCTCTATTTGGAGCCACAATTCTGTATATAATTGCCATGACTGTAGCCTGGAATAAGTACTTAATTTACATTCCTTAGGGCTCCCTAAATTTAAATAGCAACGCATCATTTTAATTCTAGTGCATAATTTCAGAATAATACAGTGTTTCCTGGAGAGTGTTTAGACAGGTTCATTGCAGGCTAATTGAAGCCATGTGGTTTAGCAGAACGAATAGATGCTCTTGAAGCCAGATGAACCCAATCTCACTTCATCAACTTGCTAGCTGATAGTCTTGAGGAAACACAACAAGCATATGAACAAGTATATGGAAAAAGTGCCACAGAAACACCTCACAGGGTCATTATGAGGTTTTGAGATGATACATATAAAACAAGAGGATCTGGCATGGTGACTCACGCCTGTAATCCCAACAATTTGGAAGGTGAGGCAAGAGATTTACTTGAGCTCAGGAGTTCGAGACCAGCCTGGGTACCATAGCAAGACTTTGTCTCTACAAACAAATAAAAAAATTGGCTGGGTATGGTGGCACACACCTGTAGTCCCGGCTACTTGGGAGTTTGAGGAGGAAGGATTGCCTGAGCCCAGCAGGTCAAGGTTGTGGTGAGCTGTGATCATGCCACTGCACTCCTGCCTAGGCAACAGAGTGAGACTTGACCCAAAACAAAACTCAAGACGCACTAGCTGGGGCTCCTGGAATGATGCTGCTGAAGATGTTACATCGCCTCTGCTCATTTGAATGAGATTTTCATTCATTTTGAAGGGTTCTATGAAATCATAATCTTGAGGGATATGCAGCAAAGACATCATGGAGAAGAACGTGTCAGATGATTTGAAAATATGCTTCCAATAACATTGAATACCAAAAACCTTAATGATTATTTATGACCTATACCATGGAGAAGAATCAAACTGAATATGTTGGAAATAATATTTGTGCTAAGATTGAAAGGTATACAAATCATTGCAACAAGAGCTCTTTGAAAAAAAAATCAATGCAAGGTTTTCCATTCAGGTGCAGTGAGATTACGCAACATATTTAACACAGCTGTGAGTTCCAGTGTAAGTAAGATATGTGAGAAATGAACTCACCCATCCAAAATCAAAGGATGGATGTAGAGACATGGAGTGCAGCAGAAGCGAGACTTTAATGATGGTCTCCTTGCACACCCAGAACATTTACAACAAGCAATTTATCTTCTAGCATACAAGTCCCTCCCCAGTTACTCATTGGTCAAAGATTACAGGGTCACAATCTCTCCTGGACATTGCCTAAGCAGTTTTGGTCCAAATAAGTTTAAAATAAGTACTTGTTGCTGTTTGTTTGGAGGGCTTTAGCTTCCTTATTTCTAAGTTTTATTTTCCCTAAGACGGTATGACTATCATCATGCCTCCCTTTCTAATGAGCTTTTGGTCATGTCTGCTTCCTAGTACGCGTTTTTGGTCACATTAGCAAACTTCTTTTCATTTTATGAAAATAAATCATCTATTGTCTTTCACAGTTCCCTCCTGTTTTTTTCTTTCATTTGATTTATTTTCATTTTATGTAAGAGTAAAGGGTTATTTTGTGTAATGAACCTTTGAGCCAGGCCCCTCATGCAAGGGATAACACAGCACCCAACAATGGTTCAAATTCCTGCAATTATAACAAGAGATGTTAAGACAGAGGCAATCATACCTTTTTTATTTTTCAAACCACCCATCTAGCCAGTCTGTAAAAGGATCGTTGACACAGAGTTTTTAGCCAATTCATTGGCCAGGATTGTCAACACCTATAATGCCTTAGTGACTGTCCTGTCTGGGGCAGTGTTATTTGGAATGAAAATGCAGCATTTTTTTCCCCAACATATCACAAACTCCCCCCTTTTTTGCTAACATTATGTTTAATGCTATTTTATTCTCCCAGGCCATCCTGTTGGCAGCATCCAATTCATCCCTAGTATACTTGATGAATCTTTGCTGATGATAATAAATGTAATTAATCCAAACTACATTTTTGTTAACAGTAGACCACCAAAAGAGTACAGACTTAAACCATGTAGCTATCTGGTTTCTAGCCTTGAATTTATTAGGGACTCCCCCGGGGGCCCCTATGGAGTTAATGTGCACATTTGAGTTAAATGATCCTTGTAGTGCTCTCTGAAATCGGTGAGGTGTCTTGAGTATTCTCGGATGTGGGACAGAATGCCAGGGTAAATGGAATGGCCAGTTGGGCCAATGCACAAATCCCGGTCCAGTTGGATGGCAACAAGTCACGCAGGCTTTTCCCTCCCCAATTCCTACCAAACATCCACTTGGGGGATGTGCAAGTTAGAGAAGTTGCCGTTAGACTCACCAGAGACAGTTCAGGCTTGGGCGCAGGTCATGAGGTCTCCCATAGGTTCCCTGAACCCTCTGCCCGGAGAGGCAAGAGGATTGGTTCACCATCCCTATGGAGAAAGAGGGGACTGCCCTCGTATCTGACCTCTGCAATATAGGGGAAAGCAGGGACAGGCTCTTACAAGCCTCATTCCTCCAGGCATCCTCATCCTGGTTTAGAGCCATCATGCAATTCATCCCAGTGAGGTCTGTGTCCCAGCCAAGGGGGAAACGGGACTACCTGCGCCTGTGCCCATCCTGCAGCACATGCATAGCAATCACTCATTTAAAGCAAGCGCTGAATATTTAACCCATTTTGCCCAGGCATTGGTGTCTTCATAACCTGCTTCGATTACTAGAGTTTGTGACTCTTTATATTTGGGTTGTAAACAATCCCATCCCCTAGGATCTCCAAATGGAGTAGCAGCAGTCTACCCCTGGTGCTGCGTGGTCCACCATACATCCCCCCTACTAGGACAGGGAGGTTCCTGATTACTTGAGATATGCTTAGGACAGAGATATTCATTTACCTGTGAGAACTGCCTCTGATTTTTTGTTTAATCTCCACAAGGTAAAACTTGACAAGCATTAAACTTTATAGTTAGGTTTTCTGGGCACCTTGTACACATCCCACCTTTACACGTGTATAATGAGTCCAACCCTTTTCTGAGGTCTGTATGGCGGTCTCAGTGGTCAGGAGTACTTGACAGGGGTCTTCCCAGCTGGACTGAAGTTGATCTCTCTTTAAGGACTTAATTAGTACCAGGTCTCCAGGCTGGTCTGCAAGCAGTTCAGGAGGAGGGTATGGGATAGATGTGGCTTCTGATGCTTGTTTTTTTACCCCACCCTAGAGAGACTGAAATAAGAACTTGAAGAGTTTAAGAATTACAATTTTTAAAAGCGTAATGTTATAACACAGGATTATAGGTCATTGTAAGTTGCTTTTTTTCACAAATCTTTAACATACCATTTTTGACATATTTATATCATTTTTAACATGCTTGAACCTTTTATTTTTGTCCTATACTTTCTTTCTTTTTTTTTTAATAACCAGCCATTTTACTATAGGACAAAAATGTACCATACAAGATGTTTTTCTATACAACATGATATAAAAAACTTCAATCCTTTTAAAGCTCAGTTTTCTAAGTAATTAAAAACCTTTCAAGCCATAACTGCAGTTAGAACTGGAGAAAAAGTTATAACCAACTTAATCGTATACCAAGATTTCTTTCAGAAATTCCCCTTCATGAACTTTATCCTGACTTTCATATACCATTGACGACATGCTTGGACTCTCTGTTTTGCCCTATATTTCCGTCTTTCCTAAATAATCATTTAACTTTAGGGCAAAATTTTATTACACAAAATTCTTTCATATGCAAAATTGTTCTCTTTCCTTTATAACTTTTCTTACCAAAAATACACCTTTATATCCATAACTCTTTTTACATCTCTCTGTCTTAGTTAGATTTATTTCCATTTTTAAATAAATAACCTTTTAAATAATCTTCAGATTATATACAGTATCCTAAAATTTTAGGAATAAGAAAACCTAGGAATAAGAAATTCTAAGCTGTTTGTTAGATATTAGTATTTTATAGATGAGACCCTTTTTATAATTTTAAAAACATTTTTCCATGTTATAACTCTTTCTTAATTGAAAGTAGCCCAGACACTTAACGAACTTCTAAACAATTTTAAGATTTTCAAATCACATGAAGAGCTTACCAATAAGCATTGTCTTATTCATATTTCCCTTTATTCATTTATAGCCGTTTGCTTAATTACTTATGTAAGCTGAGATCTTAGGTCAGGCTAGTTATTATTTAAAGTTATTTCCTGTCTAATTATTTTTTAAAGACCCTTTTTCTTCACTTTTAAGTGAGTTTTCAATGTTTGCATTTTAGTTGGAACTGGCTGAACTGTATAAGAAAAACAAAAATTTTCTATTTAACCTTGAAACAGTGAGCTTATCTCAACACCTGTGGCTTAGTTACTAGCAGATTCAAAGCAAACTGAAAAGAGAGAAATATATGGAGTTTAGAAATCTCTGTTTAACCCTATATTTGCAGGTTAACTATTTGGACTGCATAATTTATAATTACAACGTGGATGGTCAGAACCAAACGGCTGGCACCTGTGGTAATAAGAAATTAATTTGGGTTCCAGTGTCCTAATATTCACCTGGAGTGTTATCAGGTTCATTCTTACCAGGTCTCTGATGGACAGTTGGAGTTTTTTCCTTCTCTCGTTGACCTGCAAAAGCCTTAGAGACATCCTGAGACCTCGGGGCTGATTCTCTGACTCCCTTAATTATCAGCCCCCTCAGATCCTGCATTTTTTTCCTGTTCTCTTGATCATTATCATCCCACCCATGATCTACATTTGGGTATTTTTGCTCGACTGGAGGGCGTTCCCATTTCCATGTGGATGTTGCAGCCCTCCTGACCATTCCCCTTGTTCTTGGCACAAGGACCTCACCCAGGACCTCAACATTTCCCCCAATGGACTGTCCAGGGTAATGTTAGGGAGATAATCTTTATCTCCATCTTTTTTGTGTTTCCTAGGCCTGGAATTTTTGTTCCCCATTCTCAGCTGACTTGAATACTCAACCCCACTTACTAGGAGTTTCTCATATTCCCTGGTTGATGCTCGTGCCTGAGCTTACCTATGCACTCAATTCCACTCCCCCATGGAGGTTTCTTGTGCACCCTGAGTTTCACTTCATCTGTCTCCAGCTGTTTCTCTTGTGAGAGGATGGAACCACGGATCAGGACTTGCTTCGTATCTGTGATACATGTCAGTCACACACACGCCCAACCACCAAGTCAGTATTTATAGACCAATTATTCCTACCTTGGTTCATGCATGAGGTTGCCTGGTTGCCACGGTGTCTGCTTTATTTTTTTTTCCCTTTGTGTGGCTTCTGCTGCCTCTGGAACAATAGTCTCGGGCTTATCTGCGTTTCCATGAGTGACCGAGATGCCCAAGCAGAGTAGGCCAACCAAAATCGGGTGGAACACATCTCCCCCTCTGCTGGGGTTCCCCTCCCACAGATGCAGAGTATCCTGGGTGAACCCCCAGTTGTGAGAAACAAACTCACCCGTCCAAAATCAAAGGATGGACATAGAGACATGGAGTGCGGCAGAAACGAGACCTTGATGATGGTCTTGCAGGACTGGGTGTCTGGTGGGCAGGAACATCCAGAGCAATCGAACAACCATCTAGTGTGCAAATCCCTCCTCCAGTTCCTCATTGATGGAGGATTACGGGCTCATGATCTCTCCCAGATGTCGCCTAAGCAGTTTTGGTCCAAATAAATTTAAAATAAGTACTTGTTGATATTTGTTTGGAGGGCTTTAGCTTCCTTGTTTCTAAGTTTTATTTTTCCTAAGATGATGTGACTATCATCACACCCTTTCTAATGAGCTTTTGGTCACATCTGCTTCCTAGTACGTGCTTTTGGTCACATTAGCAGACTTCTTTCCATTTTATGAAAATAAACCATCTACTGCCTTTCACCGTCAGAAATCGCACAGCATTAAGAAGGCAATAATTTGACGATGAGCAGATTTCCCCTTTATGGATGTGGGAAATGATATAGATGATATAAACTGATTTTAGGTGAGTTTTGCTGAATGGAACTCTAAAAACAAATTTTTGCATAATATTTCATATAATTTAAAAAGTAATACATGTACCTGGAGAAAAGTTGGAAAATACTGAAAGTTCACAAAAGAGAAAAAAAAAATCCATAATCTGACCACCAGTGGTGACTTGAGAATTTCTATAAAGAAATCTGGGGCAAGTATGGCAGAAGGGGGAAACTCCTTCTCTTGCTAGTTTAGTAGGAAAGGCTTGGAGACACTGATGAAGATTATGAAGGGGCTTACAGTTCCCAAACACCCCTGGGTGTGGATTGCCACCTTCCAAAGAAACCAATGCTTGCAGTCAGAAGGCTCTAATTTCTGATGTTTAGGACTTCCTTCCCCTGTCTTGCTGCACAGAGCAGGACTGAGCTGTGTTCTATTTCTGGCAGGCTGAAAACAGAGACCTTAGGCCTTCCATGATATCTAAGCATTTATGGAGGATTAGATTCATAACACAATCTAGCTCTTAGTTTGAAAATCTCGGAATTCTTTCCTTATATAACGTACCACTGTAACTAATCCTGGGACACAGTGCAAAGGCTTGTTTGTCCTGCTGGCCAGGAGGGAACAGCCCTCTCCTTTCTCACTGGCTCTGAGCTATGTGTTCGTTACCACAGTAATATTATTCACTCTGACTCAAAGGTGTAGTGGCTTCTTCTATTGAGAATTCTAATTCTCTGGGTCTGGGTTTTACATTGGCTTTTCTTTCATTCACCTAGGTGTGCTGTATGGAGCCCTGTGTATCGGAATGGCTGCGCTGGCGTCGGTAATGGGCGCTTTGTTACAGGTGAGAGCTGACCTAGAGGTTTAAGTCACAGTCACCACATTCTTTTTTTAAATGTTGATGCGACCACCTTTCCAAATAGCTCTCAATATATATATATCTATGCATAGACATATCAAGGGGCAGAGATGATTATAGTCTTTACAACTTTTTTAAATTAAGCTTTCTATTTTGAGATAATTGTTGATTTACATACAGTTGTATGCAGAGAGATCTTGTATGCCCTTGAATCAGTTTCCCTCAAGGTAACATCTTCTAGTGGTAACATCTTGATAATGTAAGATCACATCCTGGGTATCGACACTGGTAAAGTCAAGATACAGGACTGTTCCATCACTAAAAGGACCCTCCCTCCCCCATTGCCCTCTTGTGGTTGCACCCACATCCCTCCTGCCCCTGCTCCCACCTTAACTCCTGGCAACCACTCATCTGCTCCCCATCTCTACAATTTTTTCAGGTCAAGAGTGTTACATGAATGGAATAACCTAGTATGTAACTCTTTCCACTCAGCATAATTCTCTGGAGATTCATCCAGGTTGTTGCCTGTATCCGTCGTTTGTTCCTTTGTATTGTTGGATAGTATTCTCTAGTATGGGTGTACCCCAGTTTATTTAAATGCTCACCTGATGAACGACCTATGGATTGTTTCCGGTTTTGAGTATTACAGATAAATCTGGTGTTCTGTATACCAGCTCTTGGTCAAATGTGGTTTTCAGATATTTTCTCTCTCTGTAGTTTGTCTTCTTATGCTCTGCACAGGGTCTTTCACAGAGAAAAATTTTAGTTTTGATGAAGTCCAGTTCATCCATTGGCTCCTCTATGGATTGTGTTTTTGGTGTGGAGTCTAAGAACTTTACCTGCTTCTGGATCCTGAAGAGTTTTGTCTGTTTTTCTTTCCAACAAGTTTTAGAGTTTGACATTTCATATTTGTCTGCAATCCATTTGGAGCTAATTTTTGTGGAAGGTGTGAGACTCAGGTTGACATTCATTTTCCCTCAATGGATTTCCAAGCCACACCATTTGTGGAAAAAACTTTGTTCTACTTACTTGCCTTTGCACCTTTGTCGAAAATGTCTTGGGCATATTTGTGTGGGTCCATTTCTGGATTCATTCTGTTCCACTTATTTATGTGTCTATGCTTCTGCCAGTACGACACTGTTTGGATTTCTGTATCGTTATAGTAAGTCTCAAAATCAGGTCAATTGATTCCTGCCACTTTATTCTTATTGCTCAGTGTTGTTTTAGCTATTTTAGTTATTTTGCCTTTTCCTATGAAGTGTAGAATAATCTTGTCTGCAAAAAAATATTCCTTAAATTTTGACTGCCTTAATCCTGTTTATCCATTTGAGGAGAGATGACATTTACTATGTTGAATTTCCTAAAACATGAACATGATATGTCTATTTATTTAACTCTCCTCTGACTTTTTTTTTCAACACCATTGTGTAGCTCTCAGTATTCAGGCCCTGTAAATGCTTAGTTAGATTTACACCTAAGTATTTTTTTTCGTGAGTGTAAATCATATTGTGTTTTTTATATTGGTTTCTATGTGTTCATTGCTAATATATAGAAATAAAATTGATTTGTTTGCATTTACCTTGTATTCTGTAACCTTACTGAACTCACTTATTAGTCCTGATAGGTTTCTTTGTGTTGGTATATTCATTGGAATACTCTACATAAACAATCATGTCATCTTCAAACAAGGGCAGTGTTATTTCTTTCTTTATGAACTGTATATATGCCTTTTATTTCCTTATTGCTCTGGCTTCACCTTCCACATCATTTTGAATAGGAGTGGTGAGAATGGAAATCCTACCTACCTCCCTAATATGAATGGGGATCTCGCAATTCACATTCCCCTCTATTTCTGTTTTCCTGAGAGTTTTCATTGTAAATGAGTGTTGAATTTTGTAAAAATTTTTTTCTGTATCAATTGATATGATCATGTGACTTTCTTGTTTCACCTGTTAACATGGTAGATGACATTGATTTGTTTTTGAATGCTGAGCCTGCCTTGCATGCCTGGAATAAAACCTAATTTGGTCATAGTGTATAGTTATTTTTTTATATTGTTGAATTCTATCTGCTAATATTTTGTTAAGAATTTTTGCATCTATATTCATGAGGGGTATTGATCTGTAGTGGCACTCTCTCTTTCTCTGTGTTGCAGGATCATACTAGCTTCATAAAATAAATTGGGAAAAATTATATTTTCTGTTGTCTGGAAGAGATTGTGTAAAATTGGTGTCAGTTTTCCTAAATTATTAGATAGACTATTTTACTGAAAATATCTGAGCCTAGATTTTCATTTTGAATTTTAAAGTTACGAATTTAATTTTCTTAACAGCTCTATAGCTATCAAATTATCTGTTTCATATTGGATGAATTGTGATAGTTTCTGTTTTTGAGTAACTGCTCTATTTTATTTATCAAATTTATATGTATATAGTTGTTTATAATATTTCCATAACATCCTTTTGCTGTCTGTAGGGTCTATAGTGATAGCCCTGTTTTATTCCTTATATTGGTAATTTATGTTTTTCCAGTCTTGCTAGAGGCCTGTCAATTTTATTAACATTTTCATAGAACAAGCTTCTTTTTTCATTGGCATTTTTTGTGGGGTTTTTTGGTTTGTTTTCAATAATTGATTTTTATTTTCATCTTCATTATTTCCTTTCTTCTTGCTTTGGGTTTATTTTACTCTTCTTGAGGTGGGACCTTGTATTATTGATTTGAATCTCCCCTTTTTTCATGTGTGCATTTATTGCTGAAAATTTCCTTCTCAGCACTTGGTTAGCTGTGTACCACAACTTTTGATATCTTGAACTTTTGTTTTCATTTTGATGAATGTATTTTTACATTTTCTTTGAGACATCATTTTGACTCCACACTTGTAAATAATGTTGGATTATTTAGAAGTGTGTTAGTTTATAAGTTTTTGAAGATTTTCCTACTACATTTCTGTTATTGATTTCTATTTTGAACCTGCTGTAATTAAAGAATACTCTCTGTGTGATTTCAGTTCTTGTTGAGGTCTGTTTTATGGCCCAGGATAGAGTGTTTTGGTATATGTTCTATGAATACTTTAAAAGAATGTGTATTCTTCTATTGTTAGGTAGAATGTTCTATAAATATAAATTAAATCCTGTTTGTTGATGGTGTTGTTGAGTTCTTATGTCCTTGCTGATTTTCTGTTTAGTTATTTTGTCAGATATTATGAGGGGGTAGTGAGTTCTTCAGTTATAAATATGTATTTGTCTATTTTAGTTGTACCAGTTTTTGCCCCAGGTGTTTTGCAGCTCTGTTGGTTGGTGCCTATGCATTTAAGGTTGTCTTCTTGAAGGATAAAACTTTTTATTATTGTACAGTGTCCTTATCTGTCTGATAATTTTCTTTGCTCTGGAGTCTAATTTATCTGATATTAATAGAGTTATTCCAGCTTTTCTTTTATTGATGGTTGCATGATATATCTTTTCCATTCCTTTACTTTGAACGTGCCTACATTTGAAGTGAATTTTCTTGTAGACAGCACATAGTTGGGTTTTTAAAAAAAATCTACTCTGCTAATTTCTGTCTTTTCATTGGTGAATTTAGACCATTCATATTTAATGTAATTATTGGTATATTAGGGCTTAAGTCTGTCATGTTTGTTTATTCGTTCTGTTTTCTTTTTTCTGCCTTCCTATGGATACTTGAATAATTTTTAGAATTCCATTTTGATTATCTATATTGTTTTGAGTTAATCTTTTTGTATAATATTTTTAGTGATTCGTATATGTAGTACATAAAATAATTATAGCTTATTAGTGTACTGGTTTTGTCATTTTACCAGTTCAAGTAAAGTATAGAAACCCCACCTTTTACCTTTCATTGTTTATGATACCATTGTCTTAAATATTTCTTTTACCTTTATGTTCTTTTGCCTGTCATTGTTTATGATACCATTGTCTTAAATATTTCCTCCATATGCATTCAGAATCACATCAGACAGTGTTATAATTTTTACTTGAACTGTCAGACATAATTTAGAAAACTCAAAGGAGAAAGAAAGCCCATTATATTTTTTCATATTTTTGTTACTGTGTTCTTCTTCCTTCCTGATATTTTAGGGTTCCTGCATTTTATCATATCCCTTCTGTTTAAAGAGCTTCCTTTAGTCATTCTTTTAGCATAGATGTGCTGTCACCAAATTCTCTTCGCTTTCTTTTATCTTAAAATGTTGTGATTTTTCTCCTCTATTTCCAAAGAATATTTTTGCTGCCCATAGAATTCTGAGTTGCTAGTTATTATTCTTATTTTTATACCAGCAGTTGAAAAATATTTTGCCACTTTCTTTTGTTCTTTACTATTTCTGATGCAAACTTAGCTGCTACTCTATTTGTTTTCCCCTGCAGGTAGAAAGTCATTTTTCTCTGGCTGTGCTCAGGATTTTTTATTTTTGGCTTTAGTTTAACTATGATGTGTCTTGGCATGCATTTCTTTGAGGTTGTTCGGCTTCCTCGAATCTGCAGACTCAAGTCTCTTGTCAAATTTGGGATTGCCTGAGCCCAGGAGTTCGAGACCAGCATGGGCAACATGGTGAGATCTCATATCTACAATTTAAAAAAAAGCCATGCATGGTGGCTTGCACCTCTAGTCCCAGCTACTTGGAAGACTGAGGCAGAAGGATTGCCTGAACCCAGGAGATCAAGACTGTGGTAGCTGTGATTGTGTCACTGCACTCTAGCCTGGGCAACAGAGTGAAACTCCTAATAAAAACAAAACAAACAAGAGAAACAACAACGCTCTGGCCTCTAGTAAGGAGGAACAGGCTTCCCCGAAGAGAAAGGTACCAACACAGGTGGGGTGCCCCTGGCTTGAAGAGCCCCTGCTTTGGAGAGTTACTCCTCACCCCGAGGAACTTGGCATCATGACACCACAGACTGAGAAGGCGAAGGCAAGGCTTGTCTGCAGAAGACTTGAGTGTTGCTGCCGCCCACCAGTAGTTAGAAGAAGGCCCC